AGTGGCAGGCCGAGAATGGACACCCGGAGAGTATGGAGGGATGAAGCCGGACATAGAGACTTTCAACCACAGACTAGGGGGCGGGGCAAGACCAGAGGATTTCACGGCAACGGGACAGTGCGGGCGCCTCCGCGGGGTGACATTGCACCGGAAGAGAAACCCGCCCTCTAGTGGCTGCAATCAGGAGGACAGCGACTTTGCACTTAACTGTTTACATGGGGTAACCTTGTGTAGAGGGGTCACATGACACGGTAATGTCTCCTGATTGGAGGGAGAAGTCATTAATAAAAGAATTGTTATATTGGTGTAAGTGGAATTCTGGGTAAAAGACTGAGGACCCTCCTCTAGCTCCTCCCACTCCCGGAATTCCTCACTTATTGTCCTTCGGGTGATGGACGTCTCCTCTCTGGCTGGTGGGGGTTCATGCTACGCCTGGCCACAGTGGCAGCATCTGGATCAGTGCCGCACAGAGGCAGTGTCGGGTCCGGTACCTGGAAGCACAGGTGGATAGAAGATGCAGGGCCTGGCTGTTGTGTCACTTCAGAGCATTGTGAGCCCGGCCTGTGAAGACCCCTTGAGGGGGTGTGCTCATCCCACGTCAGTAAAGTCAATGGGGGGGGGGGTTAATCCCCCCACTTGTTTGGATGCCACCTGGCAGGTGAGTCTCTTTCCATGCACTCTAATGAGGGTCTCCTGGTTGCTGGCTCCTCCTTTTTTCTTGTCTGCCTCCTGGGTCCTGGACTTCAGTTTGCCTAGTTGCTTCCCCTGGGGCCACCAAAGGCTTCCCCTGGGGGCCACCAAAGGCTTCCCCTGGGGGCCACCAAAGGCTTCCCCTGGGGGGCTACAAAGGCTTCCCCTGGGGGGCTACAAAGGCTTCCCCTGGGGGCACCGCTCAGACTTGGATGTTATTTCCACCACAGGCTTTGTATATTACTCTTTATTAACCACCATGAAGTGAACACGCAGAAAATGAGGGGCGCCTGTCCTAGTGTAAGGCCTGGTTCACACCTCGGCGTATTGCATATGCGCGATTCGCGGTAAAAAAGTAACGCGACAAATGCGCGTTTCCGAGGGCTACTTGGCTGTATCCCAATGGAAACGCGCAACAAAACGCCGCAGAGTAGTCCCGGCACCTTTCCAGGCGCGGGCCGCTTTGTAGCGCGTTAGGGACGGGCGCTGAGGTGGGAACCAGAACATACAACGGGATTTAGATGTCTGAGCGTTTTGTAGAGCGTTCGCCGTGCGTAGAACCCGCTACAAAGCGTTCCGGGGTGAGCCAGGGCTTAGGAATCGTACTCACAAACATGGCATCATGAATACAACATACGTGTCCTATAACCAGGAACCCGAGATCACACAGATAGGTATGTTACTCCGTCCTGAATGCATTTGCTCTGATGAAGGGGGCGTGTCCCCTGAAAACGTGTTGAGCAGTCAGGACGGAGTAACATACCTATCTGTGTGATCTCCGGCTCCTGGTTATAGGACACGTATGTTGTATTCATGATGCCATGTTTGTGAGTACGATTCCTTACACTGGGACAGGCGCCCCTCTGTTTCATAGACTTGGATGTTACCTCAGCGGAAGCTCCGCCCCCAGAAATCCTGCGTGACACCAGTAAGGTGCTGAATGAGAGTAGTCCGGTCCTGTACAGGCGCACTGAACGTTCACACATATGTGAGCGTTTCTGACCCCTCCGTGGATAGGAAGTGCTGGCTGTGGATTGGCTGCGTCCTGAGAAGTTGTCAGCTCCTCCCACACCTTGTGTGCCGTCTTCCCTCTCTGAATTGCCCGTGTCCTGTACTGAGAACATAGGACCCGTGACTTACCTGTACAGTACCGGACACATCACCTGACCCCCAGTGTCCCCTATTGCTTGATTTCCTGGAGTGGGCGGGGTTATATGAGGGTCCCCACAGCTCTGGCCAATGTCCAATCACCGGATGATACCGCCATACTACCCAATGTCTCTGATGTGTCCTGTCCTCTCCTGGAGAGGTCTTGTATGATCGGGTCACCCTTACCATGTTATAGAAGTCCTGGAGAGGTCTTGTATGATCGGGTCAGCCTTACCATGTTATAGAAGTCCTGGAGAGGTCTTGTATGATCGGGTCAGCCTTACCATGTTATAGAAGTCCTGGAGAGGTCTTGTATGATCGGGTCAGCCTTACCATGTTATAGAAGTCCTGGAGAGGTCTTGTATGATCGGGTCAGCCTTACCATGTTATAGAAGTCCTGGAGAGGTCTTGTATGATCGGGTCAGCCTTACCATGTTATAGAAGTCCTGGAGAGGTCTTGTATGATCGGGTCAGCCTTACCATGTTATAGAAGTCCTGGAGAGGTCTTGTATGATCGGGTCAGCCTTACCATGTTATAGAAGTCCTGGAGAGGTCTTGTATGATCGGGTCAGCCTTACCATGTTATAGAAGTCCTGGAGAGGTCTTGTATGATCGGGTCAGCCTTACCATGTTATAGAAGTCCTGGAGAGGTCTTGTATGATCGGGTCAGCCTTACCATGTTATAGAAGTCCTGGAGAGGTCTTGTATGATCGGGTCAGCCTTACCATGTTATAGAAGTCCTGGAGAGGTCTTGTATGATCGGGTCAGCCTTACCATGTTATAGAAGTCCTGGAGAGGTCTTGTATGATCGGGTCAGCCTTACCATGTTATAGAAGTCCTGGAGAGGTCTTGTATGATCGGGTCAGCCTTACCATGTTATAGAAGTCCTGGAGAGGTCTTGTATGATCGGGTCAGCCTTACCATGTTATAGAAGTCCTGGAGAGGTCTTGTATGATCGGGTCAGCCTTACCATGTTATAGAAGTCCTGGAGAGGTCTTGTATGATCGGGTCAGCCTTACCATGTTATAGAAGTCCTGGAGAGGTCTTGTATGATCGGGTCAGCCTTACCATGTTATAGAAGTCCTGGAGAGGTCTTGTATGATCGGGTCAGCCTTACCATGTTATAGAAGTCCTGGAGAGGTCTTGTATGATCGGGTCAGCCTTACCATGTTATAGAAGTCCTGGAGAGGTCTTGTATGATCGGGTCAGCCTTACCATGTTATAGAAGTCCTGGAGAGGTCTTGTATGATCGGGTCAGCCTTACCATGTTATAGAAGTCCTGGAGAGGTCTTGTATGATCGGGTCAGCCTTACCATGTTATAGAAGTCCTGGAGAGGTCTTGTATGATCGGGTCAGCCTTACCATGTTATAGAAGTCCTGGAGAGGTCTTGTATGATCGGGTCAGCCTTACCATGTTATAGAAGTCCTGGAGAGGTCTTGTATGATCGGGTCAGCCTTACCATGTTATAGAAGTCCTGGAGAGGTCTTGTATGATCGGGTCAGCCTTACCATGTTATAGAAGTCCTGGAGAGGTCTTGTATGATCGGGTCAGCCTTACCATGTTATAGAAGTCCTGGAGAGGTCTTGTATGATCGGGTCAGCCTTACCATGTTATAGAAGTCCTGGAGAGGTCTTGTATGATCGGGTCAGCCTTACCATGTTATAGAAGTCCTGGAGAGGTCTTGTATGATCGGGTCAGCCTTACCATGTTATAGAAGTCCTGGAGAGGTCTTGTATGATCGGGTCAGCCTTACCATGTTATAGAAGTCCTGGAGAGGTCTTGTATGATCGGGTCAGCCTTACCATGTTATAGAAGTCCTGGAGAGGTCTTGTATGATCGGGTCAGCCTTACCATGTTATAGAAGTCCTGGAGAGGTCTTGTATGATCGGGTCAGCCTTACCATGTTATAGAAGTCCTGGAGAGGTCTTGTATGATCGGGTCAGCCTTACCATGTTATAGAAGTCCTGGAGAGGTCTTGTATGATCGGGTCAGCCTTACCATGTTATAGAAGTCCTGGAGAGGTCTTGTATGATCGGGTCAGCCTTACCATGTTATAGAAGTCCTGGAGAGGTCTTGTATGATCGGGTCAGCCTTACCATGTTATAGAAGTCCTGGAGAGGTCTTGTATGATCGGGTCAGCCTTACCATGTTATAGAAGTCCTGGAGAGGTCTTGTATGATCGGGTCAGCCTTACCATGTTATAGAAGTCCTGGAGAGGTCTTGTATGATCGGGTCAGCCTTACCATGTTATAGAAGTCCTGGAGAGGTCTTGTATGATCGGGTCAGCCTTACCATGTTATAGAAGTCCTGGAGAGGTCTTGTATGATCGGGTCAGCCTTACCATGTTATAGAAGTCCTGGAGAGGTCTTGTATGATCGGGTCAGCCTTACCATGTTATAGAAGTCCTGGAGAGGTCTTGTATGATCGGGTCAGCCTTACCATGTTATAGAAGTCCTGGAGAGGTCTTGTATGATCGGGTCAGCCTTACCATGTTATAGAAGTCCTGGAGAGGTCTTGTATGATCGGGTCAGCCTTACCATGTTATAGAAGTCCTGGAGAGGTCTTGTATGATCGGGTCAGCCTTACCATGTTATAGAAGTCCTGGAGAGGTCTTGTATGATCGGGTCAGCCTTACCATGTTATAGAAGTCCTGGAGAGGTCTTGTATGATCGGGTCAGCCTTACCATGTTATAGAAGTCCTGGAGAGGTCTTGTATGATGAACGGGTCAGCCTTAGTCACTGGGTCCTCCCACCCCTGGCTGTAGTCCATATGTTGGTTTCTGGAGCTGTGGCCCTTGTGGTCCTCCTCAGGGTCCCTCCTCTCCAGAGTGACTCTCTCGTGGCCTCCGCATTCTAAACCTGCAAGATCCGGTCAGATCCGACTTCACCACGGCGCTACTTGGACGCGGCTTTTCACCTTAATCCCCCAATAAAAGGTCCACGCCCTACGTAGCCCTCCATCAGGGGTCCTCAGGCAGCGAGTTCCTTCATTGCGGGAGTGGAAGACATTTGGGAAGCCAGCTTGAGGCGGGACAATGCTGAGTCCTCAATTCTACCGTCTCCCCTAAAGACAATACCTAGGAAAGGGGCTCTTCTCCGCCAGGAGCCCCCCAAATCCCGCGCGGCAGATCATTGCTGGGGGACCCTGCGCCTTCCTGGGAGGTCAGCATGTGCCCTCTGCTGGGGTAGAGTATGTCCAGAAAA